TACCTGGATCACATGGAGAGATACCCACACTCCATCCTTGTGAAATTCCTGGGTAAGGCTAGTCAACTCAACGAGTAGCAGAAAAGAAACAAAAAATGGTTTCAGGGGAAGAGCTACCTCTTCCTCTTCCAAGTATTTCGCCTCTTGCTCTGCTCCACAGGTGTGTACAGCATCATTGCCCCTCAAGAGAAGAAGGTAGGCCGTCTTCAACCTGCAGCCCAAATTTGCACTGTATTATCAAATTCCTCTTAATATGGATCAGCCGTGACCAGCCCGCTTCCAAAAACTCATCACTCTCATTTCCATCTCATTTCTTCAGAGAGACACAGAGACAGAGACAGAGAGTTAGAAGGAGACAGAGAGAAACATAGAGAAAGACAGGACAGAAAGAGAGGGGAGAGAGAGAGAGAGAGAGAGAAAGAGAGGGACAGAGAGGGAGGGAGGGAGGAACAGGGAGACAGGAAGTGAGGGAGAGAAAGGGACAGAGGGAGAGAAGAGAGAGAGAGAAGAAGAGAGGGGGAGAGGGACAGAGTAAACGAGAAGACACACACACAGAGAGAAAGAGATCTCAACACTCTCATTTTCATCTCCTTGTTTCTTCCAAGGGAGGGAAGTAGAGAGATTTTCACTGGGGGCTGGTCTTCCTCTGGGGTATCTTACCTCCCCATTATTTTGATGGCTTTTGAGAATCAAGATTGGCTTTTGACCCTTCAACTCTTCCATCCGGTTCAACCTGCTCATCTGCTCACCCTTTCTGTTTCTCCCTGTAGAGATACTTCATCATCATGCAGAGTGTCTTCTATCCACATGAGAGGATTACTGAACGGTGAGTTTTCCACACTGTCTCTGAGAGATGGAAGGTGGCTGAGCTTGGCTGAAGATGAGATCCATGGGTCTGTCCTTGGATGAATGGATGGATGGATGTTTGGTTGATTGGTTGGTTGGATGGATGGATGGACAGATGGTTGGTTGGTTGGCTGGCTGGCTGGTTGGATGATTGATTGGTTGGTTGATTCGTTGGATGGATGGATGGATGGATGGATGTTTGGTTGATTGGATGGATGG